TAGACGAGGGATGGCGGAGAGACTGCTTGCCAACCCCCTCGCAAGGCGACCCTGAGCGCGTATTGGATTAGAGCTTGTTCGAGCAGAGCAGCTTCGTTGGTCAGGTAGTACCAGCCCCAGCGCTGGGCGTGGGAGGGCGCTGGCGAAGTTTAGTAGATTGAGGGGCTGTACCCGATGGGTGACGTGAGAGGTGGGTGTGGGGTGGGGTAAAGTTTCGCAGGGTGAGTTTCGGGGTCGTAGTTTTATGTAGTTTTACGACGCGGGGGCTCGGGCTCCCTGGGTGGGTGTTTTCGGGGCTTTGTGAGGTTTGGGAGAGAGAGGCCGAGACGTTCTATCTCTTTGGCGTGGGCTGCGCGGGTTGTTGTTAGGTGGTGGGATTGGTCCTTGAGATGTTGCGCGGAGAGGCGGAGGGTGGACAGTTCTTCTTCAACTTTTGTTTTTTGTTTCTGTTTCTCTTCTGGATCTGCATTGCATGAGTCAGAGGAGTCCTTCCTGAGTTTTGCGATAGCGGACTCTATTTGTTTGATCTTGCGCTGTGGTTCTCGCAGGGCAACTTGTAGCTCGTGGGACTCTGCAGAGAGGCGTTGGATCTCGTACGGATATTGGGCAAGGTCATGGTAATTGCGGTCAATGCAGTTTTGGGAGTAGAGAGCGGCATTTTCGCGGATGTGTTTAATGTCCGGCGTTGGTTTCGGGGCTGTGGGTGGGCGGGGTGCGGTGTTTACTACGGCGGACGTGGATGAGAACCGATGAAGAGATATGGAGAAAGAGCGGTAGAATTGGGAGAACGTGCTGAGTATTTGCCGGTTGTGAAGCTTGCAACTGAGGCAGACGTAGGGATTCCTCAGTGCAGCCATTGGAGGGGGTGGCATGATGCGCAGGGCGATGTGGATGTAATGGTTGTTAAGAGGAGAGATAACTAGAGGAGATATTGAATCTGAAGTTTGGAGATGGAAAATTGTTTAGCCGGCCAGCATCATTTTTCAAGCACATGCTTTTTTTTCCTGCGTTTCTCTTAACTCAATACATGATTGGAATATTCTAAACACTCCAATCAATTGGATCTAATCTCTAGATGATTGATTGAGCGGCGTCATGATAATAGACGAAAAGGCAATATATTTGCCCAATTTTGTCCGTATATAGACTTGATATTCCGAATATCATAGTGTGAAAACCACAGCGACCCACGTCCGTCCCTTCGGAAGCCCGAGTCTTCCCGTACGTCTTCATCCGATGAATCCATAGCAAAACTCGATATACTTCTAAAGATTCTAGAGAAGTTCCTCTACTCTGCCCGCACTAGACAATGCATGATTTTTTCCACATTTCTATTTTCCCACAATGATCCTCGATGTGCCAATGAACTGCCGCTGCCACAAATGAACTGATTTCTTCCAGTTTCTCTTGTCATGTGAGTGCACTGATGTTGGAGATGATTATGGGAAATGTTGATTTAGAACCAGGAATCTCCTCTGGCCATTGCGACTCGTATAGCGTTCCAATGCATAGATGCTCATGTGAATTGATCTCCCTGCATAGCTCTGTTTCATCATTAGCTTGACTCCATGATTTTTGAAATTACCAGATGAGGCTAAATTGTCACACGCTCGTAGTTCTTGAAAGCTTACCCGGGGCTTCATTGGTTTGATAATGACCGCGATATGGAGCCTATTGGCAGCTTCTTGCTATGGCTGGATGTCTTCGACGAATTCCAGCCCTTTCTTTATTAGTAGTATCCATTGATCGTTTCAGAAACCAACTGGCGGCCACCAATCGCTGTTGCTGGCGCGCTTCTATGGTTTTTCTCCCCCTCTTTCCTTCCTTCCCATACTTGAGGAAGACTGTGGAAAGCAACATGTTACCGGAGTTTGTCGGCACTGATGTAAGCGAGATGGGATCAAGGCGGTTTGTATTTCGACTCTCATTTAACAAGAGGCATCCATTATTAATCCGCGGGGAGGGGTACTTATAGTACACCCATCCGCCTAACACTCTCCATGCTGGGACGGCCCAAATTCTGTTCACGCTATTTTTGAATGCAACAGCGATGTGACGCTGAAGAAATTGTCAGGCCGTCGGTGAGCATAAGTAGGGATCCATGAAAGGATGTCATTTCAACCACGAAGAGTAACGGACAGCTGAGCCGCGCAGAATAGTTATCTGAAGGAGATCAGAGATAAAGAAGATTAACTATGGCAGAAGACCAGCCCAGCCCCATCCTCAGCAGAGCTGGGGTCGCTCTGAAGTTTTATAGGCAGGGATATGATGACGTACAGTACTGGTTGACGATATATGTCCATTCGGCATTCGGCAACCGAAGCCGCGCAACAGCAGGGAGTCAGCGCCTCTTTAACCCAAAGCCAGGGACTTGGCAGGGGAATTGGCCAATCAGCAGGATTGGTCTGACATAATAACCGTTTTAACTTCGTCGATCTTACCACGTACATGCATACATACAATGTTAATGACTCGATATAGACTTTGTTAAGGTTGAGGTCTTTTGTGCGGGAGTGACTTCCCGTATTCTTGTGCCCGTTGTCAGACCCTAATCTGGATGCCATACTGGTCCACATTTACCCCTGAGGTAGTTATGTATGCATGTAAGACGCCCAACTTAATAACCAACCACTAGGCTCACACGGAAAGGAGAGGGGGCGGGCTGATAGCCGAATATTAGGATTTGATTCAAAGAACAGCCCAGTCTCTGCAGTAATGATGAAGGTGTTCGATAATGCATCTGCAATCTGTCAGCAGAACTCTTTTCTCTTACGATGGTACTCCGTACAGTACATAACATATCTTCTTCCTTTCTTATCCGCCCTCAATTCACTGAACAAAGCCTCTGAGTCATCCCGAATATCTGCTGCTTCTGAGATATCTTGTGATTAGTAGTTTCAATGATTCAGTACATACATGCTGCGAGAGAGGAAAATGCATCAGCAGTGATAGAATTGCTCCTAGATGAATCCTTCAATCAGCTTTCCCGAGGTCGTTGCAATGGCGTTTTGCAGTGCAAGCCACTATAAGCCACTATCACACCTGTGGATCTGTACGTGCGATGTTTTCGCACTGATCTGTAACTATGGGGCATGCACAAAAAGTCGGCGTTGCATCTCCTATCTTAAATGATTAAACTGTAATGGGCCTACGCCGAATAGATCGGCATTAAGATATAGGTCTTATATAACAAAAATGGAAAACATTAGAGAAGGAAAAAAGAGAAAGTGTGAGAATCAGTGATTGAAGTGGATATTTATACGCGTATGAGTTGAAGCTTCAGGGCAGGAGAATAGAAACTCTGTGAGTTTCTCAGCTGAGAATTGATGACTGAGAATGCTAAAGAAAGGATTGATGACTGAGAATTAAAGCTTTCAGCAGAAATCTATAAAGTGTAATAAAATAATCTATCAATCAGATATAGCCTGCTACATTAGTTCTCTCTTTTCATGTAAGAAATCCCGCTCCTCGCGGATCCTTTACCCCTATTTCTATCCCTCACATAACCAATAGGGTTAGCAGCCCTTGGCTACACACAACTATATAGACTGGAGTTCGCGAATACTATTTATAACTCAGCTTGAATACTATTATATACTTAATCTCTACATTTATCTTACTATTATGAATACTTCTAGTAGTTATCAGTATATATTATATCAAGCTATAAATATCTGAATAATCATCTATAAGTACTTATTCTTACATTTCAAGCCCTGTTAGTTAGCAACTGCTTATTATAACTGAAAGAACTAAAAACTTATATACTTTAATCTCTGCAAACTCTACTACAGACTTAGAAGTAGTTATCTAAATCATGAATAATTTCTATAAAAGAAGTTCTAGAGAACTTATTAATTACTTATAGAATATTATTTTCTATATCTATAACAGAGAAACTCTCTAAACTTATAAATAAATTAACCTTAGTAAAGAATATTCTTAAGAATCTTTTACAGAATTAAGTTATTTTTCTATAAGAAATACTTACTATCTGTAAACACTCTTAAATCAAGTCTCTAGATATAATCTTCAGAGATACTTATAAACTGAAAAAAAACTTTCTTAAGTTATAATTACTTAAGATTATCTACTAAATCTTAATTTATAAAAGCTTTTATAAGTTTATATTTAAAATTAACTTATAAGCTCAGCTGTGTAATATAAATGATAAAGAGATTATTATCTATATAATAATAGATCTCTACTATACTGAAGTTAAGAATTAACTGAATTATTTAAAGTGTCACGTCTCTGGCCGCGTCAAGGCCCTACTGCGGTTTCATACGGCTCATCACTTTCATGCAGATAATTTCATTCATTTCACAAGCTATTTAAACCAGTTTTCAATCACTCTATAACATTATTCAGATATATTATAGAAAGATCTGATTGATAAATATGAGAACCTCACTTCTATACAAGATTAGCAGATTACTTTTTCTTGATAGTGAGATACTGCTGAGGTATTACTTCAGCTATTCTCACTCATGAAATAAGAGAAGAATATTCACTCATTATCTATATAGAATAGCTAGATACTGACTTCTCATTAAAGAAGTCAGTGATTCATTTTTTCTTCTACTGAAATATATACAAAGAGTTACTATATATCTTATATAATCTTCTTAGTATACTAAGTATCATATCTGTGATATTCTTACAATAACTCTGTAATCTATGAGCTCACTATTTAAGCAAGATAGTTAAGCTTACTTATACAGCTTCTTAAATAACTATCTCTATATAATATCACTGACTAGTCACTACTTCAGTTCTATTATATTATAATTTAAATCACTTAATCTGATTATAAGTTTGAATCAGTTAAGCTCTAATAAACTGATATAATCTTATACATCTGTGTTGAAACTGACTTAATCTCACTCTCTGAGAGAAACACTACATTATTCTCTAGAGTGTGTACATCTCTATCTTAGCAGAAATCTGAGATTTCTGAACTTACTGTATATTTTAATATAAGCTCTTTAATTATTCTATCACTGCTGCAGTCTCTACACATCTATATCTATTATAAAGATAGAGAGATTAAGATCAGAGATTCTCTGAGATATAAGAGAAATACATTATCTGAATTTCATAGCTTTATTCATACTCTTGAACAGAAATTCTGTCTTAATCTGAGTCAGTATAATACTTATAAGATATGAGTAATATACATTATTAATCTTCTTGAAGACATCTCTGTAACTACTTAGACTATTAAGAAAAGAAAGCTTGAGTGTACTGATACTATAATAACTTGAAAAGAATTCAAGAACTTTCTACTAAATTAAATCAAAGATCATTATAATTATAGCTTCATAGCAGTATAGCAGTTTAACTTATTATATTAATAAGATAATAAGAATTCTTTCAATTTCAATATAAGATTTAAAGAATATTGAGAGAAATTAACTGATGATTTAAATTAATTAAAAATACAGCTTTATCTTATAAAGCTGACTTATAAGATGTGAATAATAATATTATAATATCAGAGTTTATCAATCAATTGCACTGAGCTTATCAACCTGACTTTTCAGATCTATTTAAATAATCAATTCTCTGAGAAAAAGACTAACAAGATCTCTTCTAAGTAATTAATAATAGAATCTAAATGACACTGTGACAGCTTCAGTATGAAGAAAGTAAAGAAGAATTTCAAGTATTCTAATTCTTCACTCACTGTAAAGAAATATTAAAAAAGATTTGATAAAAATCTCTATTTTAACTGTAAAGCTGATGAATACTATATCAGTAATTATAAGAAGCTGAAGAAGAAAAGAAATTAAGAAGATATCTTTTTAAAGTTAACTTCTCTTCTGATAAACATATCTGTGAAAGATAAAGAAGAGAAAGAAATGAAGAATTAATAATTCTCATATCTCTGAGTTTATATTACAATCACAATATATACTCTGAATGAGAAGATATTAGTGAGATATCTACTCAACTTCAAAGTAGATATTAACTTCATATTCTATTTCTTTTCTTTAATGAAGAGTTGAAAGAAAATAGATCTGTCAGATTATATAAAATTTACTGATGAAATGAAATATCACTGTTTCAGCATAATTTAAGTGAAGTGTGTGATCACAGACTCAGAAGAAATCTTTAAAGAGAGCAGTCTACTTCTTCACACAGTTAATATTATAAATGAGAATATTATTCTAAATCTTCTGTAATTGAGAGAAAACAATTCTCTTATTAACTGAGTCACTTAGATGTGATAATATCACCTCACTGATGAAGAGACAGTGATAGAGAAATCTGAAGAGTTTCATCAGAAGAATCTTGAGAAAAAGATAGAGTTAATATACTATATAACAGATGATTGAGACTTGAGAATAAATGAAGAAGTCATCATTCTCACTGCAAGATTAGCAGCAGTATTCATCATTGAAAATGAATATACACAATGTCTCTTTACAGATTATAAGAATGTCTTTTTAAAAAGAAAAGCAGTGAAGTTTCCTAATATCAAGATATAATATAAGATTTATCTTGAAGATGATGTAACAGTGCTATACAGACCTCTTTACAACTTATCTATAAAGAAATTGAATATTCTGTGCAAATATCTTGAAGAAGTGTAATCAAAGAACTGAATATACTTATCAAAGAGTTCAGCAGAGACATCTATACTCTTTATGCTTAAGAAGAATGATAGACTACATCTATATGTAGACTACAGAGGCCTCAATAAGATGACAGTTAAGAATCACTATTCATTACTGTTAATTGACAAGATGATTGATCAATTATCTGAAGTAAAGATGTTCTCAAAGATTAATATACAGAATATCTATCATAGAATCAGAGTTAATGAAGACAACATTTGAAAAACAGCTTTTTATATCAAGTATAGTAATTTTAAATATTTTGTTTTATCTTTTAGTCTTTATAACACTTCAGTCATCTTTCAGATCTATATAAATGAGATGCTGTAGAGCCTTGTCAATGTCTTCTACATAGTATATCTGAATGATATTCTAATCTTCTCAAAATCAGAGAAAGAATATGATATCTATATTTAAGAAGTGTTGAGTTACTTAAGATAGTATTAACTCTATATAAACACTGAAAAATACTCATTCTACATGCAGAAGATTGATTTCTTAGATTATATTATTAAGATGAACAGCATTTCAATGAACAGAAGCTGAGTCTCTGTTATTGAGAACTGATCAGTGCTGTGAATGTATTATAAGATGCAGATATTTCTAGAATTTATGAATTTCTACAGATGATTTATCTATACATATTTATGAATTACTGCTCTTCTTACAGATCTGTTAAAGAGAAGTGTGAAAAACAGAAAAATGAGACTGTTTATTCTCATTCAAGACACTGCACAGATGTTTGTGAAATTGAAACAAGCTTTTATAGATGCTATAATACTGAATCACTTTAACTCTGATTTATTCAGTCAGTGTGAGACTGATGCATCTAGAAATGAAGTCTGTGAAATCTTTTCACAGTTAACACTGAAGATCTTTCAATGTTAAAAGAATTAGAGAATAATTATCTCTGAAAATACAGATAATGAATTATCTGTAAGAGAAGACTTTTTCACAGAGTCTATAAGATACTGTGAATGAAAATCAGTGACCTTCTTCTTCAAGAAGTTATCACTTATGCAGAGAAGATATGATACTTATGATCAGAAGATATTAGTAATTATCAAATTCTTTAAAATCTGATAATATTATCTTCAGAGTAGTAAGTACTCAGTGTAAGTTCTCACTAATTATACAAATCTGTATTACTTCATAATAATAAAGAGCTTGATAGAATGTCAAGTCAGATGAGCAGAGCTACTTTCAGAGTATAATTTCTATATCTGATACTATTCAGATCAGCTTAATCTCACTGATACATTATTTAAATAATCTGATTATAATATTGTTAATGCAGAGAAGAATTCTATAAAAGAATCTCTATCATCACTACAGAAGAAACTGACTGCAGAGAGTTAAGATTCTCTGAAGCTTAGAAACAGCACTGATAAGACAGCTATATAACTCAGTATAGAAGATGAAAGAAAACCTGAGTCTCTGTAGAGAACTGATACTGAAGATCATGAGCTTCTCATGTTATATCTTATAATTATTGAATTGATAAAGAATGAAATAGTCTATAATCTTCTAACTCAACTACTTTTAAAATTCATTGATAAGTTATAGAAGAAGAATATCTCTACTACAGCTTGAATTCAGAAGTTAAAG